TGACCACAAAGGACATTGAACTGTTTCCCGGCCAACGTCACACACATGCCAAAATAAATAACCTCACCACCGACGAACAAATAAACAAACCCCAAACATTGCGATGCTTTCAACTTCACCGCCGCCTCGGCCTGGCGGCAGGTGCAAACATGGAGGGCAGGTGCAATTTTTGGCAAGAGCTAATAGGGATCGTCCGTCTGGGGGGCTGTGGAGAGGCGCTAACTGGTCCAACAACGGCTATTCAATGAAAAACAACATCCATTCAAGGCAGGGATCAGCCTTTGTTCCTGTCATTTTCTGGGGGTGTGGGCTGGCGTAGCACGTTAGTATTTAAATGGTTTGATTCAACTAAGAGAGGGCCAAGGGAAACCCCCGGATGAAAAAGGATGGAGGAGCTGTGCTTTATGGGGTTTAGGGGCTTGTCGCTAAATATTTAATAACATGACGCATCCAGTTGCCAGCAGCCGCAGGACAATGACGCCAGTCACCGGATTACTCCACTTCTGCACAGGGAGAAATGGAGGGAGGAAACCAATTGAAATGCTGGGCTGTTCTTTAAATACAGAATTTTTTTAGTTATGTCCCAACAATGTAATTTTAATCAAGATTCTAGAAATTAAGGATACGAAATTCGGTAGGTAAACCGTTTTGATAAGCCCTTAAATGAACTATTTTTCAATTAGACAAAATTTCCCGTGTAGAACTTTTTCATACCCTCAGTAAGAGTCCCTCTACACCCACTTCCATACAGTCTGTAGAAGCCCCCCTGGCAAATACTTGAATTGTTCACTTTCGTCTGCCGCTACTTCAGTCCATGTGGTTTTCTGGTGCCCCCGTCGACGTCTGTCTGGAGCATCCATCTCCGTCTACCTAGAGTTTTCGGGGGTATGAAGAGGTTAGGTTAAAAGTTCTGTGGAAGTGCGCAAAAATTTTACGATTTGTTTTGTTTAGTCTGTTCCTGTTGCTGTTTCGCTGCCACTGCCGTTGTCCTCGTATAATTTTCAATGTCAATGACGCCGGCGGGATGCTTCTTTCTTCTTCTGCAAACCATTGCCGCAGTTGTAAAAAACCAACCCCTGGCCAAAAATATCGCACACGAAATTAAAAGCAAAACCGAACGACGATAGGCGTGGCACTCACACCGATTGCGAGTCTGAGCCGTAGATCATTGTCCTTGGCTGAGTTCATTCACACGGGGGTTCAGGAAGAATGTAGAATGAGCGGAAAGGAACAACGGACTCGATTTGGGGATGAAATGGAATAGAGCTGTGAAGGGAAAAATGTAAAATTGAGGTTTAGGGAGATATATTACCGAAAATCCATTCCAAATTCCGGCTGGCAATGTCATAAGGTATATGTTATAAATTCAAAACACAGATGATATAGAATTCAATTAAGAATACCATAGGGATATACTATGGATATGATATTACATAGTATGATAGATCAGAGACAGTGATGGATACGATAGGGAATCGAGACATGGAGAAAACAAATATACCCGAAAACGCAAGTTGTATTTATAATATAATTCCGTGTGAAGGTAGTACATAATTCAGGACAAAACGGATTGGCACGGTATGGAAAACGATGCAAGGGAATACCTAATACTCTTGTGATAATCGGTGAGCGTAACCGTATTATCCCCAAACTGTTTTTAACCCTTTATGGTAAATAGAGGAGGGGTTGAAAAGTAAAACTTAACTTAATATGAACTAGTTTGTGAACTGCAGAGACGTAAGTTCGACGATTTGGTGATGAATTTGTTTGGCGATTTTTAAAATTGAAGCGGCGAAATGACTGGACTACAATGAGGCAGCGTAGCTACCTCAACGCAACCTCGTCCACGTCCTCATCATCGTCGTAATTCTCGTCCTTATCCTCATCGTCGTTCTCTTCTGCGGCCCGCATCTGTCTGGGCCTTGGTCCCGAATGCTTGCCCTGCCTGCTATACTCTGTGGTCTGGATTCGGTCACCGCTCCCTGTTCTCCCAGCCCTCGGTTTTGGTTTTGGTTTGGTCTCCGGTCTCGTCTGGTGGTGCTGTCGTCGTCGCTTATTGGTGGTGGTAGAGTCGTCGTACAGAAGCAGTGCCAGTGGTGGTGGTGGTGTAACCGACCTAGGACTTGCCATGTGGTATTGTCTGCTGCACTCGGCTCGGTTCAGTTGAGTTCGGTTCAGTTTGGTTTTGGTTTGGTTTGTTTTGTTTTGCCTTTTTCCTCCATGGAGTCATTTGGCGGGAAAATTCGCTAGCAAAACAGAACGAGCAAGAGGTCGTAGCAGGGGTTGTGCAGGAAAGGGCCATACAAAGGCATGGCCTCGCACCCGAGGCACGAATGCAGAAAAAAAACCAGAACGGCAACGAACAGGGGAACAGGAACAGGCCAGCAGACTCGTCAGAACGCAGAAAGCCAAGTGCCCTGAGCCGAAGTCAGGGGCAAACTCCTGAGTCGGAAACCCGAAGCCCCTTAGGACTGACGAGGCGAGTGGAGAACGACAGAGAGATGGCGAATTTCTCATTGGGCCTACAAAGGCGGTGGAGTTGGTAGTAACTAGTGGTTTTGGGTTTAGGCCAAAGGCAATAGTGATTTTTTGTTTGATGTCGAACCCACTTCTCACGCTGTAATAAATGCGAAATATATGATTATTTAGCTTAATCTTTGGTATTTTTATATATTGATTATTGGTAGCAACTCTTCTTCTGACCGCATCTGTAGTCTGTGTGTATGTAAGATTGTTGTTGTTTTTATGTTGAGCGACATGCGAACAATTCGAAACTGTGGCAACATCATTACGTGCAATAAAGCGGCAAGAGCCCAGCAGTTCTTGGGTTCCTGGGTTCTTCGGCTCTTGGGGTTCTTCGCTGTCTGGCCAGTGTGCAAGGTGAGGACCAGTCTCAGTCCCTGTACCAGCCCTCGCCCTGCTCTGCCAGCGATTCCGCTTTCAGTTTAGGCCTACGACAAGCTTCTGGCTCTGGTCGTAAACTGATATTGGGGTCGACGACTGCTAATTTGTGGACAGCAGCAGCAGCAACAGCAAACTAAACAAGAGAAAATGCGTGCCGAGCGACGCATAATGACAGAGGAGGAAGGGCGGAAGAAGCCACATGTGGTGTACAGTTGCTGGGCGTGGACATACAGAAGAGCACAAACGCAATACATCACAGCAACATCGCATCGTTGGATGATGAAATACCAGTGACAAATTTTGCAGCGAAATGCATTCTCTGAAAGATTTTTGTCCTTTAATGTAAACAAACACCTAGAAGTCAGAGACTATAAAAACTATATCTACCAAATTCGGTAACATTTAGCTTTAACTAAACCTTTAAAAGCATAAAAACAAGATTTTTGTTGCTTGTTAAATATATACTCAATTACCAAAACACCCTTCAACTAGATCATTTTCAATTATATCTTTTCTGAAAGATATTATTTCCTAGCAGATTATTATAATTTTAGTCAGAAGTTTACAACTCAGTAAAGGAGTCGTTTCCTACCTTTTTAATATTCTTGACCAGTATCATCAGTCGAGTTCGATCTACTTATGTCCTTCTACGTAAACTAGTGTCTTAGTTTGAAACGATAAGAGTGATATAGCTTTAATAGAAACGATCGTCAAATTAAAGACTAACTGTAAAACTGAAACTGCAAATGAAATGTGTAATGAATTTTTATGATATGTTTACATGTTACATGTAATTTCTATTAGTTCTTCCATTCATTTAATCAAATTCGATTGATTCTTAACGAACCAATTGTACATTGCAAGGGTATACAAACTTTAGCGTGCCGAAGATACGGTCCTTTCTTATTTTTAATTATATTTTAATTAAAATAAGTTGAGAGCCCTGGTAAAGAGCAAACAATACAGTTTGTCCGGGGAAAAGTTTTAGGCAAATGCTGATAATTTATGGGCTAAGCATGGCCCAAGCCCTGTGCCCGGCAGGCAATTACTCGAGGATGGATGGATGGTGGAGGACAAGACAAGCTCAAGTAATTCGAATTGAATGAAGTGCGCGACGGCTGCCTCCTTACGCACCAGGAAGTCCAAGGAACCCTAGACAGGCTCTACTGCTCGTGGGCGGAGAGGGACCCGGGACACGCACACGGACAAAAGGCGAACCCTAGTCTGGTTTTATTTTCATTTTTTGTAGGTCTTTGACTGGGTTGTACTCCACTCCCCACTCACCACACCACTCCATTCCATGCCACTCCATTCGATGCTGATGTTGGTGGTGGTTTGGTCGCTGCTCCAGGCAGTTTTGTTTTATTCCACGTTTCTTTTTTACATTTTTGCTGCTGTTGTTGCGCCTCACCGCCAGACGTTACCCACAAGCTGGCAGGGGTGACGCACCAAATACAAATGAGGGAAGAAGGACCGGGACCCAAGGACTTTTCAGAAAGTGCGTCGATATTTTGTGCGTGGCCAGGAAGCGACGCACGAGCGCCCCAGCCTTCTCCCTTCCTCTCTTCATCTGTCTGTCTCAGAAGCTGAGCCGCTCAGACACGGAGCAGTAGACAGTAGACAGGACTCAGGACTCGTTTCGGGTTTTAGCTTTGCGTTGAAAGTTGAACGAACCTTTGGCGTTTCCTGCCTAAGGATCTCGCCTTTCCCTACTTCTGTCTCTTACTGAACCAGGGCGTTTTATTACACGTTTTCTTTTTCTTCACCGAGCGAGAAATACAAGAAGAGCTAAAGGTCAGCCCCTGGCGAATTTCATTTTGAACTGCCGGACAGGTCTGGACGAATAAGTGTTAGCCTATGTTTAGTGCACAATATGCTTCAGTTGATAAATATGAAAAGATTTTGAAAATGGATTAAAATGAGATGTTGCTAAAAAAGGTTATGGTTAATTTTTAATATTTAATAGAGTTTAAAAAATGTTTAGTTAATTTTCAAGCATTTCTAGAAGCGTTCCTAGGGGGTTTGCTGGAGACTTCTAAAAATGTGATCAGAATAGGAGATTTTAAAATAAAACTAACCAAACTTGAATTATTATTTCTTTTTTATCTGCTACCTTTTTTCACATTTCTTGTTTTTGTTAGCGTTTTTCATTGCATATATTAAAGTCAAAATGAGCGTAAAAAGCTTGATCCGTGGTGGTCTTCTAGTACTCGATCGAGTAGTCGAAGGTGCCGAAATGCTCGTACTTCTTCTCGAAGTACTTGGCGAAAGTGTCCACGTAGTAGACTTTGACGTCCTTGAAGTAGCCGTTGGGCACGAAGAAGGTGTACTCATCGATCTGGCGGTCGAAGGGATAGCCGAAGGGCTTGCTGTCCACAAAACGAGTGCCAGAGCCAACGCCTGAGGAGTATGTGTAATCGAAGTTGGAGAACTGCTCGTATTCCTCGGCATAGGGCGAGACGAAGAAGTAGAACTGCATGGGGAAGCCGTGTTCCCAGCCCTTAGGCAGGACCAGGCGGTCGGGGAAGGCGTTGTGGGGCTCGCTGATGTCCAGAGGGAAGTCGTACTTGCCTTCGGTGGCCAGCATAACGTACTTGTACAGTTCGGTGTAGGTGATCCTGTCCTCGGCAGTCCAGGTGAACTCCTTGGAGCTGCGCTTGATAGTATTGATTCCGGCAACGAAGGGGAAGATGAAGCTGTCGATCTGCACAAAGTTCTTGCGGTTGTATTCCAGAGGGATCACGCGACCGTACTCGTCGAACTTGGGGCCCAGGAAGACACGGACGACGCCCTTTTGGGCGGTCTTGGACTCAATGGTGAAGTCGAATTCGAAGGGCTTGTGGTTCAGACGAGCCTGACGGGCCAGCAGAGCCTTGTCCCAGACGAACTGTCCGTCGACGAAGGTCATCTTATCGTTCAGCAGGTTGGTCACATCGAAGTCCACGATATCGTAATACGTCACCAGCTTGCTTACAGTCACATCCTTAATGGTGATGCCCTCGTAAATGAGATCCTTCTTGGTGTATGGCTTCAGGAAGTATTTGAAGTGGTAGAACACATCGGTGAACTTCTTGTAGAAGGTGTAGAAGAAGGGATCGCGCAGCATGGTCTCGAAGTTAAGGAAAATGTTGGGGAAGACCTCCATGTCGGTGTAGTCGACGTCGGCAAAGTACATATGGGCCAGCATGTAGTAGTAGTTGAAGAAGTACTTGTCGAAGGTATCGGCATTGCCCTGCAAGTAGTTGCCAATGAACTTGACGGCCTCCGGCTTGTGCAGATCGATCACCTGACCGTCGGCGGTCTTGTAGAATCCGGTCTCCAAGGTCTTGTAAACGCGGCTAAAGAAGTTTTGCACCTGGCTGTACATCTCGAAGTTGCCGTAGGTATAGAAGTCGTAGTAGTTCTTGCGGTAGCTGTAGCCGATGCCGTTGTAGTAGATCAGCTGGGGATCATAGCCGTACTCGATCTGCTTGTACCAGAAGAACTCTGGGATATCACCGTAGCCGTTGGTTAGACGCTCCTGGTAGTAACGGGCAAGGATCTGCTGCACATTGTAGATCCAGAACTCGCCGCGACGGTCCTTGTCCAAACCGAACTGCTTGCCGTTGAGGAAGAAGGCGTAGTCCATGTTGAGGTAGTACCAGTAGGCGTTCCAGCCGAGATCCTCGGTGAAGTAGCTCATCTTGGTCTCATCGTTAAAGAAGTTAACGTCGCGGGTGTAGTCAACGGGCATGTAGAACTTCTTAAGGCCCTTCATCACATCGACGTATTTGGGGTCGTTGACAAAGGTGGCGAAGTTCTCGCGCAGGAAAAACTTGTCCTCAACGTACCATTCCTGGTCCAGACCCATCATTTTGTACCACTGCCATGTCTTCCAGTCTTTGGTGTAGAAGTAGAAGTTGCCAGTGAATTCGCTGTAGTCCTTATACAGGATGTCCTTGTACTCCTTCTCGTACATGATGTACTTGCTGAACACTTCGTAGTCGAACTTCTCGGCCTCGTACACGAATTTGCTGTTGAAGAAGTACTGCGGGAAGATTTCGTAGATCTGGGGCAAGATCAGACCCTCGAACTCGGGCTTGTGGATCACGGCCAGAGTCAAAGCGTAGACGAACATGCCCTCGTTCACGTGGATGCGGGCCCAGGCGACGTTGCGGACGAACGTCTCCCAGTCCTTGGCGTAGTAGAAGAAGTTAAACAGACCGTAGGCCTGCTTGTGATGGGTCTTCACCAAAGCACCGAAGAATTCGCCCTTGGGCAGGAGGGCGCCTAGCTTGTAGGACTCCCAGAATTTCTCCATGTAGAAGTCGAAGGTCTGTGGAGAAAGAGGAACCCATTTCATGGAAGATGACTTTCAGGGATGATCCACTCCCAATTGCTTACCTCGTAGTGTGGCTTCTCGACGATCAACTTTTGGCCCAGCTTGATCCATTCTTCGAAATTGAGGGGATCTTCCACACGATAGAGGATCTCGAAAAGGAACTTTTGCTTGTAAAGGAAGTCCTTGTCGGCGATCTTCACCTTCTGCGTCGGCACGCTGAAAGCCGCCACGCAGCCCACGAGGGCCAGTATCACTAGGGTCAGCTTCATCCTGGATCCTGTCTTCACTCCTGATCTTCCTTGATTGTTCAACTGCTCCGGCCTTGGTACTCTTAACGACCAACACCTAAAGTCTGTTGTCTTTGGTGCAGTTTGCTTGGGTTTATATAGCCGAGTGAATCACAGAGGCCTTGCATTCCATCATATCAGCCTCAGACGATTCTAGAAGTCAGCATAGGTCTCGCGCATAAGTCTCGTCCCCGAAAATAGCCCGGGCTTATCTACCTTAGGCTAATAGAAGCTGCCATCATCTGATCAGAGGCACAGGTCGTCCGCGCCAGGTGGAGATAAGATAAGAGCTTCTATGCATCGGCGGGTTCCTGTCTTGGCACACAGTGACAGAGGCTTGCTGCAGTGCGATAATGCTTTTACGCTTTTGAACTCTCAATGCCACACCGAAATCTCTTCAAGCCGAGTTCAAGTTTACTTCTAGGGGACGCTTTGGATTTTGCATTGCCATCCGGAACTTTAGAACCTTTAAAAATATTCCAAAACAAAGTCATTTATTGTATTAAGAAATTTGGAATAGATCTACAGATCTAGCGGTGACATTACCTATCTTGAGTGCTTTTGATTGGGCAAGAATATAAAACAAATAAGTAAATTATAATTAGGTAATTAAAGCCATATAGAAGGCAGTTCTTTCACCGCCAACAAAAATCAGTCAGAAGCTTGCAACGCACTGAAGGTCTCATTTCCGTCCCTATAATATAATGTTATTCATCAGCATTAAGATGCAAATCTTTTTGTGCATGTAGGAAAAGAACATTTTTTTTTTGGCATTTTTCTCAAATTTTTTAATGGGTTAATATTTTCAAAAAAATGTTAAAAATTAAAATTTTTGTACCTAATAAAAATTTACATAAAAAAGCTCTCCGAATTAAAAATAGTGCCTTTTTGACTTAGATATGTGATTTTTAAATTTTGATTTAATGAAAAATTGTCATATAAAAATATAGATAAATATTACTAAAAGAATGGTATTAGAATCTTAGTCAGAAGCTCACAACTCTCTGAATGTAATTTCCGGCCCTATAATACATATATATTCTTGGTCGCATCAACAGGCGAATTTTTTCAGGCATGTAGGAAAAGAAACATTTTGTTTGGTAATGTTTCCCAAATTTTAAAAAGGGGTTAAAATTTTCAGAAATTGATTAAATTTTGAATTATTCTACGTTTAAAGTTGAGTATTCCGATTTCCTAACCTAATAAAAACTAACACTGGAATGCCTTCCGAATTAAAATGTGAGTTTTAAGCTTTATTTTTGCAAAAAATATTGTCATAGAAATATATAGATAAATATCGATTCAGGAAATGCTGATGTGTTAAACTTAGTTTTGATTGATACGATCTATGAATCCGATTGCAAACAGCATGGGTATATTTACGTCGGTTACGTCGGTAACATTTGGCTGTCACTTTACTTGTGATGTAACATTGCAGAAGAATGAGGTTGGGAGTGTAAATAAATTGGCGAATAATTTATGCCGTCTAACCAGTGTCCGTTATCCTGTGTCCTTTGTGCGGTGGTTGGCCCTTCTTCAGGTCCTGTTTTCCGTGCCGTTCACCCTGCTGCTTTGAAATCAGTACGCTCTGTCTGCGATCAAGGTCAATGTGCGTGTTGTGTCAGTAACCTTTGTCCAGACACGCCGCCACCCCTTCCTTACTCACCGCTTTTGCCCCTGATATTTATTATATTTGGGTTTGTACTTACTTTTTTCGTGCTCTTTGCTCGGCAATGTCTGGCCCCAAAAAGAAGCAAAGAAAAATAAAAAAATTGAGAGCGAAAAAATGGGATTCGAACAGATGTGCAAAATGCTGAAAAGTCGCCCTCTTCCCTCTGTCCTGCTAAGTGTATGTGCTTTGTGTTGATTTTGGAGGAGCATTTGATTTGCCATAATCGCATATTAGTCGTTTGCCCAGCATTATGTATTTACTGTATGTGTCTGATGACTACATGTGTGCTTGGGAATCCCTCATTTTCCACTGAGTCAAGTTCCTTGGGCTTAAGTTGGGAAAATCGCAAATTGAAAGCTGGCTTATCCAACAAATCAGTTATCAGATCCACTGTTTGGCAGTTTCTATTTCAGGGCCCTAGATTATATAATTTAGATGTTTCATTTCGGAGGAAGGGCAACAACAGTGATCAAGTTATCTTGTGAGAATCTGTGGCGAAAGTAATTCAAACAGCTTGGAATGACAGCTTTGAAGTATTTGGATTATGGTCTACAATGGTAGAATAGAGGAATTTTTATGTTTAAATTCAGACTTTGGGTACCTTCTTTGTCATACTAAAATTATTGGATTATGGTCTACAATGGTAGAAAAGAGGAATTTTTTATGTTTAAATTCAGACTTTGGGTACCTTCATACTAAAATTATCACCGCAAACCTTCAAGAATATACTTATACATCGACTAGCTTTGACCAAACTAACAATATTACTTTAAACTTGTAGTTAATATTTGAAATTAAGTTTCCAGAGGTATTTTTCGCCTTCTACTCTTTCCTTTTTGTTTTCTATTACTACCTTCTTCCTATACTACAATATCTCATTCTGGCTGCTATCAAAGCCGAGTCCTAACTTTTGCCTAATTACCACCAAATTCCATCCACTTTACTGCCTTCACTCGCCCTGCCCTGCTTGGCTTTCCCTTTGTTTTTAAGTTTGTGCTGACAAATAGTTTGAATAATTGCCTTAAACGCTCCTCCTCTACCCACTCTATGCCGACCCAGATTGTTGCAGCCAATATATCATTCATTATCCGCCATGAAAAATTAGCAATCGCATTTTGTCTGCTATGCTCGCTTAAATGCAAAAATAAAATAAAAAAAAGAAAGCAAAGAAAAAACATTAGAGAAAAACTGAAGAAGGAAAGAGCGAGAAAACTTTTATCAGTACCGAGACAGTTAAGGGAAGTTCCATTTGGGCTGGGTGGGGGTAATGTGCAACAAGGTCCTGGACCAAGTTTTAGCAGCAGTTTTCCTTTTTGACACAGCATAAAAATTAGGTAATAATGACGGCCATAAAATATGATTTCCACGCTTGGAAAGATGGCCGAGGAGGAGTGAGACCAGGCTTGTCTCCTTGCTAAAAAAAAACTTTTCCAATAAAATCAGACACACTCGTAGAGAGAGAGGTCAAGCCGATGCCGTCATCGATCATCATCGCCTGGCAAACAAAGAAACAAAACCAATAAAGGAAAAACATTCAACACTTGAGAATGAGAAATACTGGAAATACCCTTGTCCTAATTTTAGATTTCAGGCCATAAATAATATATTTTCAATTTCCCACATAATTATATATATATAAACTCATAATACAGTTCTTTAGTATGGTAGTAATTTGGCCCATTAAATTCTTCTTAAAATTAAACTTCTCTATTTTGGTTTCGAATAATGTCACAACAAAATTAATAAACTTAATACTATTTGCAAGTATTTTAAAGACCAATATAAAAAGGGTAAATTTTAATACCCGATGGAAGAAAGATAAAATGTATGCCAAAGTTTTATCGAATGAATTAAAAAAGTTGCGTTGACGGTAATTAACTCAGATCTCTCGACACTCAAAGCAGGATCTCCTCACGCCATTTCCCTCACCATTTTCTCAACGATTTCCATTTTCTCATTTCCCGCCTCCATATATAAACGTATAGCAGCCACCCTTGAAGCTGTCCGGAAAATGATTCATAATAATTGCAATGCGGCATCGTTTCGCCCCGAAAAGCCCGAAAGTCATACATCGTCCTGTTGGCACCATAAAATTGACAAATGTGTCTGTAAACTTGGCTAATAATGCTGCGTCCGAATGGTGGCCAACTGATGCTCCTCCTTCTCAGTTCCTTTCTTGTTGCAGCAGCAATATTTGAAGAGTGTCCTCCTAGTGATCACCATGGGAGGACACTGATACGTCTTCTCTATCTTCACGTCTCTTGATTAGAAAAGTTACAGAAAAGGCTTATACATAAACTTACTTAACGTATTCAAAACTACACTTAAATATTTATTATTATTTTAAAAACTGAAACCAAAGTACATTGACCCAGGGCTTTTATTTTTGTAAGGGTGCACTTTGGGCAGGGGTCGAGAGTTCGAGGACCCTCGAAACAAGAGGACGAAAGAAAGATTTATTGTATGCGAAACACAAGTTAATGAAAATTAGATGATGGTTCTCGATAAACACAAAACGCTCTAATATATCAACAGCAGCAGCAGCAGCAGCAGTAGCCTGGTCGGTAAACAAACTGGGGTCATTGTCATTGTCATTGCCAGATGATTAGAAGAAAGCTAAGCCGGGTCAAGGGGCATGCGGCTACTGGAGTCCGGAGCCTGGACTGAGTGGCATTGGGATTTTAATGGCTTTTTGTACGCGCTCTTCTCTCCGTCAGCAAAGAATTATAACAATGCGACGAGATATTATCGCTAATCGAGCTGTTCTGAATGGGTGGGCAATGTGTGGGGTCAGGATTTCAGTCTTGGACTTACTTCAGAGTTCAGTTAACCGAACCAAATCGTCGAGAGATGTAATTTATGGCACACAAAATGCGCACATCTTTATGGTATCTATCAAGTTACCACTAACTCTTGGGATCATATATTAATATTTACGGTGAAATACATCTTGTCATTCAGCATTTCTTCATTGAGCATTTCTGAGTGCTAAGCAGCCATCTTTAGGTTTCTACATTTTCTCAGAATTAACATCGATTCATTGACAAACATGCCTCAACCTTTTCCTCTGATATTGATTAAGAACGACGACAAGGACGACGATAGATGGAGGTGCATTAATTCTGCTTCAGGTTTATTTGTTTTCGCTTTTCGGTTTGGAAAGAGTTTACGGCACGCTTTTGAAATGACCGACGCCAGTTCAGTGGTCAGTTCCAAGAATCCTCACGACGACGACGACGACTGCAGTTATGTGGGTCTGGCGAGGAAGAGATTCCCACACCGAAAGACATAAAGAATAAAGGACACGAAACAAACCCTGGCTCAAATACGGTCTCTGTCTCGGTTCCAGCAGGGCGTTAATGTGCGAAGTGCGTTTGAATGAGTTTCGCCAGAAGTGTTTGCGAGTCTCAGAACGAATCCGAATGCCTATCGGTGTCTATTGTTAGGTAGCCAGGACAGGCTCCTCAAGGAGCAGCAGAAGCAGCATCACAAAAGGTAAATCACCTCTGTCTTGTTTGCCCTCGAATTTGGTCAACCGGGAGTTCATTGTCAAGTTCAGCGGCCAGCGTCGTTGTCTGGCATTGATGTATCTCTGCATCTGTATATCTGTATCTGTGTCTGTCTGGCTTTCAGAAGTATCTGTAGTTGTATCTGGAATCTATGCCTGTATATGTTCGTTGCGCTTGCGTTAAATTTGTTGCTCAGACTTTTGTTTGCTTGTGTTTCTTTTTCGGTGTTTTTGTTTTGGTCCGCTACAGGATGCTCCATAAAACAAAAAGCTATTTGAAAGCGACATTTATGTGTTTTTAATTCTTTCTCTGTGGGCGTTCCTCAAAAAGAGGGCAAAGGGGATCTTTTCTTATGCTTTTCAAAGGAATTTGCTTGCTTTCAGGGGACTTTAAATTGCAGGAGCTCATTGAACTACAAAAGAAGCCAAATTCGGAATCCTGAAGACGACAAAAGGGAATTTCGGAAATTTTCCTTTTCGACTTAAACTTAGCTTGAAAAAAAAATACATTTTAGTTAACTTTACATAGTACATTTACTGCAATCTTTATTATTATTACTTAGAGAGTTTTTTTTTTTAGCTTGCTTACAGTTTCATTTCTTTTAAAGTTCGTTAAAAAATTTCACATCAAAGTTTCTATCCATTCAATGATAATTTCTTAAGTTATTTAAATTCTTCTTTGATTAAGTCCTAAAACGATCTCGAATCGCTGATATTGTACCATATTAATGAAGGCAATTAAGTGAAGCAACTTCATTTCGAACCGAGAACACAAAGAACAAGATCAAAATCAAAAGAATCGAAGAGAGCTTCTGCAGGAGAACACTTTCAAGGATATTTAAAGCGAAAATTCAGCTAAGAAATGCCCAAAAGGCCAATCACCTGGGCTCACGAGTTGGAATACAACAACATATATAACGAGCTTTAGGAAGGTTTTTTTTTCGTGGACGGACACACAACTGCTTCAAGGGTCTCCTCCCACCTGGAAAACCGAGACACATACAGCGTCCTACTCCTTTTGGGGGAGCCTTCCCCAACCGTGCTAAAGTGGCCATAAAAATCATAATGAAGCGGCGACTTAAACAAAATGCCATAAAATGCCTTAAATGAGAACAAGACACTCACACAGAAACAACAATAAAAAGGAGTACGTGGAGAGAGGGACTATGTCCGATGTCCTTCTTGGAATTCCGAGTCGGCGGCAACTTAAAGCAGAATCCAATTTTCAGGTCGGAGCGAGCGACTTTCACAGGCCACAACCAGCGCGGAATTCATTCAACAGTTTGTAATCGAAGTGAGCAGGGAAGAGGAGAAACCGAGAGAGATAAGGAGAGGAGGGGATACAGATGGAGAACTGCATTCAATGACCTGAGACAGGTAACAGAATTTTGCGATTTCTGGTTCGATTTGATTCCTGTTTTCTCTGCTTTTGGTGGCGTTTAAATGGCGTCAAGCCAAGCTTCGGGATAGTATACGATCTGTTTTGGTGGCTTAGTGTTCCTTTTTTTGGGTTTCGTTTTTATTTTTCGGAATCCTGTGCATATTTAGGAATTTATAAGTTCAGATAAGCAGTTTATAGTCAAAGAAAAAAATTTTATATACAAAAAGTATAAACAAATAATTATTTATTTAGGAAAAGTGTCATCAGAATTGTTTAATATTATATAAAATACAAATAAATTCTAAATTCCATTAAAACTAATTAAACTTAAATGAAAACTTCAATAAAAACCCTAGTATTTTATTAAAGCGAACACTTTCTCAACAAGTTTTGTTTTATTTTGACAACTTAATTTCTTCTTGAGTCAAGTGGAGCTCTCAAGTTGAGCAATTTTTTAATGTCTAATACCTTGCTTTTTATGATCTGGCCCAAAAGATTTTTAATGGTCAATCGTAAAGTTTAATTTCTACTCTGTTTTGGGTGCACTCTCGTAATTGGCGGTTACAATGCCAAAAATAAAAAAGCTATTGAAATGTTTTTGTTTTCGGACCCTAAATGGCCTCTGACCCGAAACCCCAATGACGTCAGCCTCAAAAAATCGGATGAAATACACTTAATTAAACAGTTTAATTTTATATCTTTATATGATTACTAATTGTGACAAGTGGATGTTCGTTCCTATCCCAAATGCGAAGCAGAGTAAAATGTTATTTTATTGCCCCCGATCTATAGACATTAGTCATTAGCTGTTGCATATTTAGTTTTGTAATATTAATAATATTTATACACTCATTTCTTTGGCTTTATCACTTGTATGTTAGGTACAATAATGTCTTTAATCATGGAACCAATTAATAATATATTAATATATATAAAAACCCAATAAAAAATGCACACTTAACTTCCAACCAATTTCATTATAAAATAATTTGCAATCCCAAGGCCTGCGGCGCCTGGGACGGAGTTGTTTAAAATACCATTATGCCAGATCATGTTTGGGAACCAGGAAAAAGAAGACCCGAAAACCGGCAAAACGGAGCCAACCCCGATCCGATCGAGTCGCGTCTCTTGGCGCCCAGCAACTCACTCAACTGTTTAACGGAGCCACACGCAAATGCAAATATTACCATAATTATCGCACGTGTCTCGTAGACCATGACTAAAGCAATCGCGCCGCGTCCATCGCAGACAATCAGAGTTGCTCTGCCCCATTGTGTATCCCTCTCCTGGTGGCAGTGCTGGTGGCTACCTTTCTTCCTCCTTCTCCTTTGGTTTTACGAGACTCAGACACGACGAGGCATGCAATCGAAATCTATTTACCATGCAGCAGCTAACGCAAAGGGGAACCCCCGAGTGAAGAAAGCGGCTCATTACAGGTTACTGTTGTTGCTGCTGCTGCTGCTGCTGTTGCTTTATTGTGGCTATATCCCAATGGGTGATACTCTAACTTATTGGCAGTGCAAGCTCAAGAAAGTTTTGTACAATCTGATGGGGCAAATATTTAAGTCGAGTTTATTATTGAAATTGTTATTACTACACGTATACCTTTTTGTTTCCTTTCAGAGTCAATCACCAAATATCAAATCGGAAGCCCTACGAAAAATGGCAATATGGAATACTAACTTTCAAGTTATCATCTACTGAGATCGGACTGAATTACTCACGGGTATGTGTCTATTTTGTTTTTTTGTCATACATATTTTTATCTGTCGATCTGTAGATTTTGAACATGCGAAACATACCGAAAAACAAAAAAAAAATATATATTTTATTTTTGTAACCTTTTCGACATGTTGCTTAATACGACGATGTGTTACATTCGCTTAGACTTTACCTTGGTTTAGGTGTCTTATTTCTTTCTTTTTCGGTTATTCTTTATAAAAGGTTTCTCCATTCAAGTCAGCAGGGTAACCCGCGTTCATCATTCGATTTGAGCTCCCTGAAAACTTTGGTTGTTCTTAGGCTCTCCCCCCGCGGCGGCTGTTCACTTTGTTTTGGTTACATGCCACGGCTATATGGCTATGGCAATTTATACCCCATATTTGCCGTTCGCCGTGCCCCTAATAAAAGTCACTTGATTGGAACTGCAAGTGGCTGCGGCAGCGGCAACGTTTTATTGGTTTATTATGGCGACGCTCTGCCTCCGGGCCACCACAGTTTCCATATATCTCGAAAGTAAAAAACAAAAATATAAAAAGTACTCGCTGGTTTGGATGCACCTGCAAACCAAACTGAGTAGCCAGAGTCTTGGTCTTACTGCCCTTCGTCCTACTCTTTTTTAGCCAGGGCCCTCTCCTTCCCCGTACTCTCCTCCTCCCTGTTGTTGTTGTTATTTTTTGGCCAGCAAGGCAATCAAATTTTATGGCCTTGTTGGCCTGGCCAAACATAATAGAGAGATCACAGCGCCGCATCTCGTCGTCCTCTCAACACTCAATCAATGCAATGCAGCAAAAGGGCATCAAACTGACTCAGAGATGGACAAAATCGAGCAAATTTGTAAATATATTTAGATTTCAAATTTGATTTTTAAATGGTTATATCGGAGAGATTCTTAAATAAATAATCTCTAAAATTCAAGAACATTGTCTTGGTCTTCTCCGGTTTATTATTTCATATAGACATCTAGATACTCGATACCCATCGCTTCACGATCCCATCACCTCAGGCGACCCCATAAGTCAAAAGAATGCCGTCGGGCTGCAATTGGCGGCGCTGCTGCAGTCTGCTTAAGTGCCTCGTTCAGTCAGTTCCAGTCTTATATTCCCATCCTCATCCTCATTCTTAGCCTCGTCCTCTTTCTCGTCGGCCTCCTCCTCCGAAATCGTTCAGAGATTGCCCCGGCCTATCTGAGTACTCTCATCTAACTGTCGCATGAGTTATGGACCGAAACTCATATTCATCCTCCGATGCCGTACTTGTCCTTTGTACCTCTACTGCTGTTGCGGCCTCTGCTAATTTTATGGCCTCATAAAAACATTTAAAAACATTACAAAATAAAACGAATACGGTGCTGATGCAGCTTAGTGATAGGAGGCCGCTGGTTTGGTCAAACTGTCTGTTTTACAGCCAAAATTTTTATTGTTTTGATATTTGGTGCAACATTTTGTGCCAATTTAGCGCAATGTTCTTCTTATGACATTTACGACGCGGCCAGCGAAGTTTTCACAGCGAAGAGCAGGTGCTTGCCAGTCCTCGAAGAGATCGGTTAAGATACATATAGTCGACGGGAGTGATTCCCCGCCGTTTTATGGCTTACGAATTGAGTTGAGGACATTTCCTGCCACCTTAATTGACTTGTTTTGCGAATGAGATGTGTGACGATGCCCAGGGAAGAACATAAAGATTCAGATTAGAATTTAGTTAAACGGGAAATGTGCAGATTAAAATGTCATTAAAGTCTTAACCATTTGTCTAAGGCAGTTCATAAAGTCTACATAGTTTGGGGTTTATTTGAACATTTACAGAGGCTTATATAAATTTGATGACAAATCCACAAATTATAAGCAATAAAGAAAATATTTCTGTTGTATTATCATTTATCCATTTCTCTCAACTTGAACTTTTTATTTGGTATTTTTGCAAACATTGATTTCTTGAATAAAAAAGGAAATAAAATGTTGAAATTCCAACCCACTTCATTTTATTAGAACAACTCAGGGATCAATCTCTCCTACAATTTCACTAAAATTTGTTCACTTCATTTAACAAATATTATTCGCCATTGCTGCTTGGAAATAAAAAACAAATGGACCAAATGTCATAAATAATAAAAATTTATAACGAATTAAACGCGACATTCTTTAAAGAAAGCACTCGAAAGAGGCTAAAACTGAAAGTAATCTCGGCCTCGAATCGAAACCGATGGGGGAAACTTTTACCTTCCATGTTAATTTTTCGTCAGGGGTTAGCAAAATATTCATTCAATTTGCGTGTTTGTGGAGAGACTTGCTTTTACGATTACACGGCATTTCGGTAATATTTGGGAACTTTACGGACAACTTCTAATAAGGCTGCAATGGTAACATAAGAGCTTGGGCTCCACTCGAAAAATAACCGCCTCCCTCTAAATTCTACACGCAGTTGACTATCAAAAATATTTTTTATGTTTCTTCTCTTTTTTTGTTGTTTGCTCCAAAGGCTAATGGCAACTTCAGGAGTGACATAAAATCCAATTTTATAATGCATATAAAGTTTTAATACACCAATCCCCACAGCCAGGCAAAAGCAACCCCCACGGAAATGTCAAGAGAAAAATTTCATGCATACACTTTGATAGAAATTTTAGTAGAACATTAAATTTAATGCGACACCAACAGTAGCAGTGGCAGTGGCAGTAACAACAACAACTTGTGCATAAAATTTTACTTTCCTCCAATATATGGAAGGGAGAGAGAAGCCCACCCCAAAGGTAGCTAGCGCCAGGAGAAGATCTTTCCCGCAAGGGAGCTATTCCTCGGACGAATTAAAACTGGTGGGCACGCTCTCTTCCTGAACCCGTTGCCGCCGCAAATTAGCCCGGGTGAACTCTATTTGCTAAGAACGGGGTCACGAAACAAAAACAAAGGCACACAGAAACAGGATATCTTCACTTTAAATGGATCCAAAAACTGGCGCGCAGGACATCGGAACCATTCCCTTTAGATGCTACACCTTCACCCTCGATGGCCATAACACTAAACATAACAACAACAGAAAGAAACATCTGTTCCGAGCAGAAAGAGAGTGTGGGAGCAAAACTTCCTGATGCTATAACATTTGTGAAGTCTATTAGCAAAAACGAAAGTCAAACAAACTTCACATCTAATCACATGGACAGAGACATGGGCCAAGGGAATGAGTGTCACGCACAGTGGTTTTAAAACGGTAGAAAAGTGGAAAGATTGTACTAGACTAGATTAAGTAGCATAGTAAAATAATTTCTAGATTTTTTCACGTCAATGCAAGTTAGTTTTACATCACCATAGATTCAACTTTTGTAGGAGCACCGTCAGTAATCGAATATCCAAAGTCAGACTGTAGTCTTTAGAATAAATTTATTGTCAACCGTTCACTTTTCCCCACATTCGGCCTTTCTCTCTTTCGCCAATTTAAACCAATTTAACTCCTATTAGCTCCACTGTGACGTCCGACCCAAGCTTTTATCCTTGGACAGGATATGAGCGTTAGCATTAACATTAGCATTGACACTAATGTGCGGATGTGATGTGTTTAGTGTTCAGTGTTTTGAGTGTAGAGTGTGTGTGCCACACACTGGCTGCATTAATGACGCGTCAGCAAGTCGAAAAACTCAGCCCCTGAGCCGCAGAAGGTTTATTAATAAATTAATTTTTACAGCTTTCCTGAGGGTTGTAGGGTTGGGATCTAAATTTTAAAATAGACGCCCAAAGTGCCATGAAATTCAATATATATTTCAAATAGCTGTGCCGCCGGGGCTGTGCTTATTTCATTTTTGAATGAAAACACATTGCGTATACGTAATATTTTGCGGGAAATTTTAATAAACATTTACCGCCCCAAGAGCTAATTTTGCGGAAACCGTCGTCGCTCAGCTATTTATAGGACCTCTCGTAATAAACTTAAAGGAGCATAAGGATTATTTTCAAGCAAAGTCATGAAAATTGTATGAAGTTTCCTCTTGGAGTAGAGAATTACAATTTAGGGAGGTTTTGAAAGGGGGTTAAAACGAATAAATTGAACTGAGTGATGGAGTATGCCATGACTAAGCTGGATTTTACACTCGACAAAAATATAAACACGAAATAAAACTGAAACTAATTTCAATTAATTAATGCCGAAAGGGTAAATCAATAACATCTCATGAATATATTCAAGAAATTCCATGTTGGTTATTTATTCAATGATAAAGATCTACTTAGGAAATTAGGAATTAGGAACTAAGGAATTGCCAATGAAAATCGCCTTCCGACGGTTTCCTTTTTAATAACTAAATATACAACTGTGGCCAATTATATAATAAGGAAAATCAGGGGATTAGGAACGAAAAATAGGCCATTGAACCTTTTGGACAATAAAAGCATTAAACGTACACGTGTACGGAGCTTGGCTTAATTAAAATTCGTCAATGATAAACACAGAAGATACATTAATAAGGCAAGGCGGTCTATAAAAATAGTGAAAAGCCAAAAAAGAGAGGAGAAGAGAGGGAGGGGTATGAAAGTGACTCTTAAACGTTTTGTTGGTCTTTTTGTCATTGCTTTTGTTAAGTCGCAAAGTGTTTTGACTTCAACACTTGAACTTGCCTTCGGCCAGGCCCACTTTAATGCCAGAGCAGAGGTAGAGCCAGAGCTAGAGCTCCATTCCGTACCTCTCCTCTTCACCATTCAGTTTTGGTCATTTGAAGTTTATTACCCGCGCACGTGTGAACCAAAAATACCGAAACGTACGAAAATGTTTTCGTCTTCGTCGCTGGCTTTTTACAATGAAACCAGAAACCAAGAAACCGGAAATTTGCCCAACAGCTCGTAAACTCCGGTTGGTATCTCGTGGGGTACCGCCTCGAGGGTAACACACCGGAGTAAGTCGAGTAAGAGTGGGCCAGACCAACAGACCCCACACGGACAAGCGGGCTGCAAGATGCCTCGAGATGTGGCTATGAAGACGTCTAAATGTGAAATTAAATATGCCACTTTGAATGAAATTAGACGA